TCTAATACAAGCGATATTCAGTCTCTCCCTTCCAAGTCGCGGACATATATAACAAAGAAACACGTTCAAGTTGTCCCTTCTTCGTAGATGCGGCATAACCGCCGCCTCTTCGAATCCTCTAGAGGGCAAACAGGGAAGCGTCCGATACTTCAATTCCTGTTTTATGGCCCCCATACCCCTAGCGCCGCGACCACCGGACAGTCACGGCCCATCGTAGTATTTTGTGTAGATTCTACGCGCAGCCGCCAAAACATCCCCCCAGCTCGACGCTCACAGAGCGAAGATGCTAACGGAAAGCCGGCTAGACGCCTAAAATCATACACCTCCGAGCTGCTCTCGTCCCTCCACATCCGAGCTGCTCTCGACCCTCCAACGCTGCTCTTGATTCCAGCTGCGCTTGGTCTTCTTAAAAAAATCTTCCGAAGTTGAAAAGAGCTGGTCTTGTCCTATCCACTGCTGCTTCTGGCTCCGTTGAGCTGTGCTCAGTCTGCTTCCAAAAATCAATATTTTTCAATCTGCTCTTGACCATTCAACCCTGTTCTCGATTTCATTCAGTGGTTTTTGGTCTTCCCAGACACAGTATTCCCCCAGCTTCTACAGTGTAATCCATATATATTTTATTTTTATTTTTTTAGGAGTTTTTTCCGCGCGCGAAGCACGCGTGCGAAAATAAAAACGGAGCGATAGCGGAGTTTTTTTTTCGCAACAAAACTGTTTTAGATGGATCCTTTTTGTTTTCCCGCCTGGGTTCTGCGCACGTTGAATAACACCGCCTNTTTTTTTAGGAGTTTTTTCCGCGCGCGAAGCACGCGTGCGAAAATAAAAACGGAGCGATAGCGGAGTTTTTTTTTCGCAACAAAACTGTTTTAGATGGATCCTTTTTGTTTTCCCGCCTGGGTTCTGCGCACGTTGAATAACACCGCCTGTCAGCCCGACCCCTGAATTAATTACTGTTTTCAACTTGATGTCCGTGTGTGTGTGTGTGTGTGTTCGCACCACCTTTGCACCGATAAACAAGCCGTTTGAGGATCGTTTTCGGTACGGAAAAGTGCACAAGCTGTAGCGTAACAAGGCCATCATTCCGCACCCAAGCGTTTCTCATTTCGTGCCCGCGTCGCTGCGTTCGGTGCCGATATGTACTCTATTCACAATCCGTTTCATCGATAACTGCGCCAATTGGCGACGTTCTGCAAAAAAAACGAGTGCTCAAGCCTACTCCTAATAGGTGAACACTTCTCGCGTCGTTGTTTCCTTGCACCAGCCCCTAAGTCACTCGTTCACACCTGGTTTGTCCTCTCTTTGCGGGGTCCTTCAACTGTCATTTGGGACCCGTGTGTGTCGGTTTGGTCCTGCTGCTACGTGTGTGTCGGTCGGTTTGGTTCTGCTGCTGCTGTATTCTTTTTTTGACCTCGTCCACACCGAGTGGCCAACTTTGGCACGTGTTCAGACCAGCTACCACGCATCCCCTCCTCTACAGCTCGCGGCTTTCACTATTTGCATATCACAGAAGGTGTTCGTGTGTGGTTTGCAGACCACGACAGGGCGAAGTGAGGAGGGGCTCGCGATCGGCGACAACTCGCGTGCTAGTTCAAATATTCTGCTGCTGCTGTGTTCTGAGTGGTGGGGCATTTTTTTCTACTTCATTTATTAACGCATACGGAGTGCTGACAACAACGATTCGAATCAACAACATCGCATCAACAACATTTCGGGTGTGTACCAAAATAAAAGCAACACATATTCACGGGGGGCGAACGACCCAGCCTACTGCAGGTACTTTCCGCAGCAAGGGTTATGCTGTTGTGATGGTGCGCGCGGAAAAAACTCCCCCCACTCGGGGTCTCTTAGTTGGAGGATGAGGAATTAATAAAGGCAGCCTTCGTCTGTCCTCTATTCATCTCACGACGACTAAGCTCTTCCCAATCACCATCAGGATACCTTATTTTCCAATACGGTTCTCTAAAGTCGTACACCTCCTGTTTGTTCACTGACTTGCCCTCCTCCATCAGTGAATGACCGTCTCACCTCGGCACCTACCGGAAAGTCCTTCAATGCGTGCTCACGAGACATTGCATCTCGATCCCTTGTTTGGATATTCCGGAGGTCGAGGACGAACTTTGTCTTCATGGTACACTTCCCAAAGCGCATGAAATACATCAAGCTGAAGGGGAGTAAAAACAAGATATTCGCACGATTGAGAGCGAAGTATCTGATTGAGAGCGAGATCGTGCGATACGATGTAGCTTGTCTACTGCTGAGAGGTAGAGCTTGCTGTGCGGCTTGAATTGAAGGGCTTGCCCATAGCTACAAGCCGATACCCGGGTCATCCTGCGGGTGTCTCGCGTTGTGGAGCTACACCGCGGAGCAGAAGCTACGGGAGGGCCTACCGCGCCAGGCGACGGCGCCCTGAAACAGTTTCGGGCAGGAATAGCCAATCTGGGGAAATCTAGCAACGTGCGTAGCTCCTCGCTGCTGCAGCCGATCGCAGTGACACGCATATGCACGCGAAGCTGCTGAAGAGAGCTTCAATTTGCGCCGCTTTTTGGAAGAGCCCGTCCCCTGCTTCCCGAGAAATGACGGGAGGCGTCTGGACCCGAATTTCGTTTTTTTTTGGTTCTCGCTCTCAATCGGAAACTTCGCTCTCAATCGTGCGAAAACCCTGTTTAAAGCTGTTACTTGCTTCCTCTTCTTCCATCCAGTTCGACTCATGACCATCTTGATATCGGCCACGATATTCCCAATACCAAATGCGGTTATTCTTCCATGCTATCCTCCGGTCTAGAGTAAAGTGGGGTATTAAGGGACACCCCCTATTAAGGGACACTTTTTTCATATGGACGTATCTCGGCGCACAATCCGCGGAGACCCCTGATTTTTTTCGAGGTGGTTGCAGCAAGCCGTTAGCTTTCGTTTGCGCACTTCAGCGTGCTGATCGGATCACGCAGTCACGAGATACAGCAAAGCAACTCCCAGCACCGCTGATGCGGTGCATCTTGCCCCTTTTCGGGGTCCTGCTGCTAAGCATTGGCCCGGGCACAGATCGACGCTTCTAGTTTCGAAAGCCTGCGACTCGCTACAGAGCAGATATCAACCAGGGCTGCTCCCACAGCCTCTAGGGTGCCCAAGAGCACCCTACACACGCGTACGCAGTAGAAGGGGACCGTGGGTGCCAAGGACAAAGGCCAAGTGTCCCTTTTTTTGGGCTCGGGGAGTTTTCCGCCGTATCTTCGCTGACAAGTGAGGTGTGCTTCACCGGGTCTATCTCATGCCTAGACTGTCGAATCTCCTCACTGTTGCTGTTGAGACCTAGCCTGTGATCAACCGTATTGTGCGATACCTCCACATCCTTGTAAATCGTTCCCATGCCAGAGAACGAGCTGTTTGCGTGGGGGGTGCCTTAGGTGTCCCTTAATAATCGGTACTTTTACTCTAGTAGTGTATATAGTGGGCAAGCCGCCACCGAAACTTCGGTCAAGCCCAGATCTGCACCCCAAAGCCCAGTGTGCAAACTCGTCTTCAAATTCATGACGGAGTTCCTTTTGACGTAAGTGGAATAACTTTACACTAGATGCAGAAACCACTCTCCTAAGAATTCGCCGACCGTTCATCTGAGCTTTGATGCTGTGTCCAAGCCTAATCACCTCCGTTATGATCCACGGTGCAGGGTAATGCTCATGAATCAGCTTAGGATGAACCCCTTGAGAGTTTAAAGAACTGTCAGACTCTAGGATCAATCATAACTAAGTCCCCTATTTTAACCTGACTACCTGCCGATGCTCGCTTAATTGCTGCATTATTAGCTATATCTCTTTGCCGATTTTTCCGAGCTTGTCGCATTTCCAAGGCGTTGCGAACTTCCACGAATGACTGATGTTTTTCGGCAATGTAACTATCCATGCCTCCTCTAAACTCAGTCCCATCGATATATCGAGTTATGGAATCTAAAGGCGTGCGAGGTGTACGTCCAAAGAGAATGCTGAAAGGTGTTGGGTTTCCTGGTAAAGTCGGATCTGGCGTTACCCTCTGAATCCAACAAGCTGGGAGAACATAGTGATCCCATCGTAGAGGCCAAGATTGGCATAGAATAGACAAGACTTCCTGAAACCATCCTCCCATTCTTTCTGCTGCTCCCTGACTCCTTGAGAAATCTGCTGGTCCATGATCAAGTGTTACATTCAACCACTTGCATAAATGATTGACCACTGCAGCCGCGAATTCTCCTACCGCATCACTGCGGATCGAAACGGGTGCACCAAAGGTTAGCATTAACTCCATCAGGTTGTTGCTAACTTCTAGCGATTTTTTCGAAGGTAAAGGATACCCAAAGAGAAATTTTCTAGCTCGGTCTACGACCACCAGCAAGTACCTATTTCCGGCTGCGGAAATCTGATGTAAATCTTGGATATCAATTTCCAAAAGCTCCCATGGCTTCAGAAATCTGGCCGGAAGCATCTGCACTTTCCTGCTACCGGCTCGTTTCCTTCGGCGACACCCACAAGAAAGAACATACTACGCACGTCTCGTTTCAATGTCGGCCAACTGAATTTCGCCATCACCAACAAGGTAGTACGGGCTACTCCAGGGTGTCCATAAATGGTGTGGATTAATGACATTACTCTAGATACCATCGACCTAGGAATGGCCAAAGTAGGATCAGTACCCTCGGAACAAAACCATAAAATCCCATCGTCATCTGTAATGAAGTCTCCACTTGCTGTCCTTTCTGAAGAAAATTGTGGTCTCAAAAAAGGATCAGCTTGCTGCTGGTTCAGCATAAATACAGGGTTCTTGAGCAACAGGAGCGTTTCTCTTATCAAAGAAGATCTGCATACGGAAGTTTCTTGCGATGAAGANTGCTCCCTTTCTGCTATTTCCTGGGCATGCTCAGTTTCTATTATCGGCTGAACGTTTTCCATAAATTTTGCTCTCCTCGTCGCACTTCTAGTTACCGCCGGGGTCACTTCTAGAGCTGCTAATCCCTCAGTTATAGAGTCTAATAATGAGTTCTCAAGTTCCCGAAAGAACTAGAAAGAACCCTTGCAACCTCAAACTTATGAGGACCCTCCTCATCATGGGTGGAAGGGAGTA